TGTGTCTCCTTCCGCATGTGTGGTCCCGCTTCTGCGGCAAGATGACCGCATCTGCGGTCCTATCCTAGCCCAGCCACTTCCGTTTCTGCGACACCAATGCCGCTTCTGTGGCTCCGCACCTGCGGCCCAAGCCTCGCAGGTACGGTTACACCAGAAGTCAGCTGCTTTCTTCCTTATTCAAATTCCAAGTTTGATCCGCCAACCATCCGGAATCCACCCGAGGCCCCCTGGACCCCGACCAATTATACCAACCAGCCCCAAACCAAAATGCGGACCTTCTCGAGGCCTCAAATCACATCAAACAATATCGAAATCACGAATCACACCCCAATTCGAGCATTATGAACTTTAGAACTTCAAACTTCTACATTCGATGCCGAAACCTCTCAAATCACGTCCGATTGACCTCAAATTTTGCACACAAGTCATATTCGACATTACGGACCTACTCCAACTTTCGAAAATAGAATCCGGCCCCGATTAAAAAGTCTACTTCCGGTCAAACCTCTCAAAAACCTTCAAATTTCTAACTTTCGCCAAATAACTCCAAAATGAACTACGGACCCCAAATCCACTTCCGATCGCGCTCCTAATACCAGAATCTCCCTATGGAGCTATTTCCAAACTCGAAACCCCAAACGGACATCGATAATACTGAGATGCACTTTAACCCAAACTTATGAAATTCCTCCAATATGTTTACACTGTAGGCGCCGAAACCCTCTCGGTTCATCCAAAATCCGATCCAGACATACGCTCAAGTCCAAAATCATCATACGGACCTGCTGGAACCTCCAAATCCTGATTCCGAGCTCGTTTACTCAAAAATCCAATATTAGTCAATTCTGCCAACTTAAAGCTTTCGAAATGAGAATTTTCTTTCCAAATCAACCCCGTACTTCCCAAAATTCGATTTCGACCACGCGTACAAGTTACAATACCTGAATTGAAGTTGCTCATGGCCTCAAACTGCCAAACGACATGCTAGAGCTCAAAACGACCGGTCGGATCGTTACATCAGACATAAAATAGAATAAGAGTTTTCGGGAAGGTAATAGAATCTTTTTTTTTTCTTTTTGAAAAGGAAGTATTTTGGTAGTTTTTGTTGGAGTCAATTACTCAAATGGTCACCCAACTATCCTAAATTATCTCTTAAAGTCACTTTTCTTTCGTTTGTAACAATAAAGTCACTGAACTATGCCTATTGCACTCATAAGGTCACTCAACTAGCTTTTCCAAATTTTGGATTGCCAAATACCTATTTTACCCTCTAAATTATAAACATTTATATTCTTTTTATTTTTCTAAACTTTTTAATATTATGATTTTTCCCTTTTTAATTTATATTATGGACTTACCTATAGAATAAATAAATATTATTTATATATTAAAAAAATAAAAAGTATTTAAGCATATATAATGCAGGAATAACAAAATAATGATCATAGTTAAAATATTAATTAGAATAGTTTGTTCGTAATAATAATTTTAGTATTAACAACAAAAACTCAAAACTTTATTTACACAATTCAGAATGAAAGAAAATAAAGGTTGTAAAATATATATTCCATGCACGTAATATAAAAATAATTATTTAAATAAAGGTATTTTTATAATATATATTTTATTCTTGGAAACAGCCTCTCTGCCCCTATCGGGGCAGGGGTAAGGTCTGCGTACACATTAGCCTCCCCAGACCCCACTATGTGGGACTTTATTGAGTAGTTGTTGTTGTTGTTATTTGTTGTTATTGTTGTTGCTATTATATATTCTTGAAAATTATGCTCTATTATGTTTTTATCAACTTTCCGACGTCACAAAGTTATGTCACCAGAAAGCAGGGGGACTATCTGTATATGGTAAAATATGCTATGTTAAGTCGTGCATGAAATATATATAATATAATTGAACATAATTTTCAAGAATATGTAATGTATATTAGAAAATACCTTTATTTAAATAATTATTTTTATATTATGTGCATGGAATATATATTTTACAGCCTTTATTTTCTTTCATTCTGAATTGTGTAAATAAATTTTTGAATTTCTGTTGTTAATACTAAAATTATTATTACTTACAAATTATTCGAATTAATTTTTTTAGTATGCTCATTATTTTGTTATTCTAGCATTATATATGCTTAAATACTTTTGTAGACAATTAAAATTTTGTCAAAATTTAAATCCATAAGAAATTCAGATTTTACCACAAATTAAATATATATTGGTCCAATTAAGTAACATGGACTGGTATAATTGGGTTTGTTATTTAAATCCAATTAAATTGATTTAAATAAAGGTACAATATATTATTGGGCTAGCCCGTCAATTGGTCTTTTATCAAATGGGTCGGCCCATAAGCCTCAAGCCCAATGATCCACTAGGGTTTTCTTGGAGATTACTCCACCCCACACCTATATAAAGGGGTCAAAGGAGAAGGCTAAGGGACAAGCAAGTAAGCAGAAGGAAAGGCTAAAGAAGCTCTGAAGAATAGCATCAAGGTCTCCATCCATATCTGCAATCGTCGTCTGTGGTCAAATTCCAAAGGCAAACTCAAGTCATAGGTGGAGGGCTTCAAATCTTCCGTTCGTGATAACCCAACACCAAATCCTGGTTCGTGACGACCTTCAAATTGTTCGTGACGTACTACAAATCTGAAATCCGTCAAGTTCAAGATCAAGCTTTCAAGCTCTTGAACCATCATCTGTGAGGAGAAGAATCAGAGGACTACATCTCTTTAGATTTAGAGATATTTTAGAGATTATAACCCCATCACTTGAAATTGAATATAATATTTGTCGCTATATTTCTTGTCTTGATTATTATTTTTCAGGAGCGAAATTTAGTTGTTACAAATTTTGGCACGCCCAGTGGGACTATCTCTACCTCTCATCTCTTCTCAACTCTCAACATTCAAGATCACTAAGATGACTTCAAAGAAGATCAACTCAAAAGTTGCTGACTCCAAGTTTTCTTCTGACGTTGAAAGTATCTTGAACGTTACTATGGGGAGTCTTGGGCCAATCACCCAGAGCAAGGCGAGCGTCTTGGGACAACAAGCACTCCAAGTGTCTTCTGCACCAATGAACGCTTTCAGATCTTCATCATCCGAAGAAGAAAGGTCCTCTACTAGCAAGTCAGAGAGAGGAGATAATATTGCAGAAGTTGTGGAGAAAGCTCTTGCTCACATTACTTTATACAATACCAAGAGTCAGCTTACCCAACCTGATGATGAAGTCTTAAGTGTTGGTTCTACGCCAATCTCGCCACATGACATGTTCCAAACTGAGTTCAATCCATGGGAAGGTCTCGATTATTCTTCATCATCTGCAATAATCATGGAGGCAATGATGACTAACACTTCGACAATGGAGGAGCAACTTGCAAACCTGACAAAGGCGATTGATGGCTTAACAAAGTATGCTCAAGATCAAGATGTCCGTAGTGCAAAATTGACAGACATAGTTGAAAGCATGATGGATGGAGAATCAAGTCATGCACCTAGAAAGCTTCCTGAAGTCCACGAGAAGGCTGATCCTCCAACAAAACAAGTGTCATCCGCCAATGAACTTCATGTCTCCTCCGAAGGATCAATTCCCATAGAACAATTGAAGGAATTCATTATGGGAACTATCTAGGATAAGTATGAGGTCGCTTCAAAGTCTTCTCTCACGTATGCAAAGTCGTATACTACGAGAATCAATAGCTTGAAGATGCCTGCCGGCTATCAACCTCCCAAATTTCAGCAGTTCGATGGCAAGGGAAATCCAAAGCAACATGTTGCGCACTTTGTTGAGACATGCAACAATGCAGGGACTTATGGATATTACCTTGTCAAGCAGTTCGTCCGCTCACTAAAGGGGAATGCTTTTGATTGGTACACCGACCTCGAGGCTGGATCCATTGATAGTTGGGACCAATTGGAGCAAGAGTTTCTCAATCGCTTTTATAGCACGAGGCGTACTGTGAGCATGGTGGAACTTACGAACACTCGCCAACGAAAAGATGAACCAGTTATTGACTTTATCAATCGATGGAGGAATGCAAGCCTTAACTACAAAGATAGGCTAAACAAGCTTCTGGCATAGAGATGTGCATCCAAGGAATGCACTGGGAACTTCGTTACATCTTGCAAGGAATTAAGCCCAGGACATTTGAAGAACTTGCCACCCGTGCTCATGATATGGAGTTGAGCATGGCTTCTACGGGAAACGAAGGGCTGCCCATCTACGAACATCGCAAGGGAAGGGATAAGCAAGAAGTCAAAAAATGGAGCAAGTTCGTACCCAAGAATGAAAGCAAAGAATCCATGAACGTCAATGCCTCTCCTTTGAAGTTCACTACCAAGGTGAGCAAGAAACAGAGTATGAAAACAACTTCCTCTCAAGACAATGCAAATCGGAAGTTGACTCTCAAAGAGATGCAAGAAAAGGAGTACCCATTTCTAGACTCTGATGTGCCTGCAATATTTGAAGAACTCATAGAGTTAAAGCTTATTGAGCTGCCAGAGATGAAGCGGCCAGATGAAGCTAGAAAAAGCAATGACCCGAATTACTGCAAATACCATCGGCTTGTAGGTCACCCTCTTGAGAAGTGCTTTGTTTTCAAGGACAAAGTTAGGGATTTGGCTCGTCAAAAGAAGATCGAGCTCGAAGACGAAAAGGCAAGCACAAACCATGTGTCCATTACCTTTTGCTCATTCGATCCGATTGAGATATGCACATGTGAAGGGAATGAAGATAAAGAATTGTTGGAGGATGACAAAGTCCGAGTTGATCAACCTGATGAAGAAGGATGGACCCTGGTGACTCGTCGAAGACGCCGTAAATTGAGTCTGCAAAAAGGATCAACGAAGCAACCTACGAGGAATAAGATGGTGAGAAGACTAAAGAAGCTACAAATGGTTAAAACCCAAAGAAGGTGGAGATAGAGACACACCATCACCAAAAGCCACGCCACCCGGTGACTTCGGGAGAATTTTTGCCGAGTTGGTTTCGCATGAGGATTTCTGACGATGATGACAAAGCCTTGTGCTGTAATGCTGATAAAGAAGAAGAGGAAAAGAACGAAGTCAAGTCAACACTCTCTCCATCACTGTCTAATAGTTTTGTTGAGTCCTCCTTCCAAGAAGCAGATGTCTGTAATACAAAAATCACCTTCACCGAAGACGATCTCCTACTTGGTGAGACACCACACAATCGCCCTTTGTTTATAGTCGGTTATGTGCTAGAGCAGAGGATAAACAGAATCTTGATAGATGACGTATCTGCAGTTAACATTCTTCCCATTCACATAATGAAAGAACTCGGCATCTCAACTGAAGACCTTTCTGAAAGCCGACTGATGATTCAAGGATTCAATCAAGGGGGACAAAGGGCCATAGGAGCTATCAAACTGGGAATCGCCATAGGAGATATGCAATCAACCGCATGGATGCATGTGATTGACGCAAAGACTTCATACAATTTATTGCTTAGCAGGCCGTGGATACACGAGAACAAAGTTGTCCTATCAACTTACTACCAATGTTTGAAATATAATAAAGATGGAGTCGAAAAGAAGATAGTTGCTGACGACAAGCCGTTCGCTGAAGCCGAGGCATACTTCGCTGATGCAAAGTTCTACTTGAAGAACCACATCATGAATGGAGTAAAAGTTGATGAATCACGAAGGCCAAAGGCAAGAAAATAGCTCCTTTATTTCGTTACGTCCCAAAAGTGAAGAAAGATGAAGGAGAATCATCAAGCCTCCAAAAAGATGCACTGAGAGAATTAACCCTTCCTATCAAGAAAATAGCTCCTTTATTTCGTTACGTCCCAAAAGTGAAGAAAGATGAAGGAGAATCATCAAGCCTCCAAAAAGATGCACTAAGAGAATTAACCCTTCCTATCAAGCAGATTGATACCATAAAGTTATCTTCAAAGCTACTGGAAAATTTTGTGGCCCCTAACATGCCTCAAAATAAGGCACTCCCCACGAAACACACAAATGAAGGTTTTGATCCGAATGCTTATAGGTTGTTCGCAAAGGCTGGATATGATCCCAATGAACCATCTAAGCTAGGGAAGCTCCCACCTGAAGCTACTAGGAAAGCAAACACGATGAAGGATAAGGAGCATGTGGTGAAGCAATCACGCGAGGGTCTAGGTTACAAACAACTCCCACCAGTTCGCATCTCCATTAGAAGAGCAAGTATTAACTATATCACGATGGAGGATGAACCCGCTGATCCTAATAAAAGGCCTTCTATCTTTGATCGACTTGGAGAACCAACTACAAGAACTTCTGTATTTGAGAGGTTGGGGCCATTGAAAAAGAAGAAGAACAAGTCCCAAAGAAATTATGAAAAAATAAGAAGACCTTTGCCATCTAGAGTCCAAAGTATCTCCAAATAGTGTCAAAGCCTGATCCCTTCCAGAATGAGGCGACAATCAGAACTTTTGATTTTATGTGGAGAGGTACTCAAAGTGAAGGCTCGCACAGTGGTCCACACTAGAGAGCGTGACGAAGATGAAGAAAGTATAGGATCTTCATATCACATTGCTGCAAATGAGGAGCAACACACTTCATCCCTAAGGAAAGTTGACGAAAATTTGGGAGATGCCTCTTGGTGTGGCCGTATATCTTTTAATGATGGTGATCCTCAAGAAGACGAAGATGTCGAGGACGCTCCTGCGGAACTAGAAGAAGGAATTAAAATGAATGTTGATGCATTGAAAGAAGTCAGCCTTGGCACTGCAGAAGACTTCTGGCCCACCTATGTAAGTGCCCTATTAACCACAAGAAAGCACTTATGTGGAGCTACTCAAAGAATATATAGATGTCTTTGCTTGGAGCTACAAAGAGATGCCTGGTTTAGATCCTAAAGTAGCAGTTCATCATCTCGCAGTCAAGAAAGGAGCTCGTCCTGTTAAGCAAGCCCAAAGACGCTTCAGGCTAGAATTGATCCCATCAATCAAAGCCGAGGTCAATAAACTCATCGAAGCTGGTTTCATTCGGGAGGTTAAATATCCTACATGGATTTCAAGCATTGTTCCTGTGAAGAAGAAGAATGGCCGAATTCGAGTTTGTGTCGATTTTAGAGACCTCAATAATGCATGCCCTAAGGACGAATTTCCGCTCCCCATTCTAGAGCTTATGATTGGTGCCACCACCAGATACGAGGCGATGTCTTTCATGGATGGATCATTTGGCTACAATCAAATACGTATGGCACCAAAAGATGAAGAGCTTACTGCATTTCGCACTCCTAAGGGCATTTATTGCTACAAAGTAATGCCTTTTGGCTTGAAGAATGCTGGCGCCACATATCAAAGGGCAATGCAGAATATCTTTGACGACATCCTCCATAAGAATGTGGAATGCTATGTGGATGATTTAGTGGAGAAATCAAGAAAGAGAGGAGACCACTTGCAAGACTTAAGAATGGTGTTCGAACGACTCCGGAGATATCAACTTAGAATGAACCCGTTGAAATGTGCCTTTGGAGTTACTTCTGAAAAATTCCTTGGCTTCATTGTTCGATATCGAGGGATTGAGATAGATCAAGCCAAAGTTGATGCAATCTTGAAGATGCCCGAGCCCAAAAATATACATGAACTGAAAAGTCTACAAGGAAAATTGGTGTACCTTAGAAGATTCATCTCAAATCTAGCAGGGAAGTGCCAACCTTTTAGCCGTCTCATGAAGAAGGGCGTACCTTTTGAATGGGACCAAGCTTATAGCAATGCATTCCAAAGCATCAAATCCTACTTGATGAAACCTCCAGTTCTGGCAGCCCCTATACCAGGAAAGCCATTGATTCTATATATTGCAGCCCAAGAAAGGTCAGTTGGAGCCCTTTTGGCCCAAGAAAATGGTGAAAGTAAAGAAAATTCCCTCTACTACCTGAGTAGGATGATGACCCCAAATGAGCTGAAGTATTCTCCGATAGAAAAGTTGTGTCTGGCATTAGTTTTCGCAATTCAAAAGTCATCGAAGTGCAACCACCATGGAAAATGTATTTTGATGGTGCCGCACATCGTGAAGGAGCTGGTGCAGGTGTTGTGTTTGTCACTTTTCAAGGGGAAGTCTTGCCATATTCCTTCACCTTAACACAACATTGCACCAACAACGTTACAGAATATCAAGCACTCATACTTGGGCTTGAGATGGCCGTTGATATGAGACAACTCCAATTACATATTTTTGGAGATTCTGAGTTAGTGATCAATCAATTGCTAGGTAGCTACGAGGTCAAAAAGCCAGAATTGCGTCCTTATTATGATTATGCGCAGAAATTAATTGGATGGCTTGGCAATAACTCTTCAGCATGTGCCAAGGAAGGAAAATAAGAAAGTTGACGCCCTAGCTACTCTAGCTTCGACACCAGGCCAGACACAAATCACTATCTGCCAAAAATGGATAGTACCGCCAAATGAGAACGAGGATGAAGAAAGCAAGCTCGAGCATTTTGGTAGCCGTCGCTGAAGCTGTGAAGGTTGATTGGCGACAAACCATGGTCGGCTACTTATGTTACAGGATACTTCCAGAAGATCCAAGAAGAAAGACCGAAATTCGTCGGCGTGCCCCCCGCTTCCTTTACTACAAAGACACTTTGTATCGAAGATCATTTGAGGGAGTTCTCTTGCGTTGTTTAGGGGAAGATGAAACAACTCAAGCTATGCAAGAGGCACACTCTAGAGTTTGTGGATCACATCAATCCGGGCCGAAGCTCCACTTCCACATTAAGAGGATGGGTTACTACTGGCCGACAATGGTGAAATATTGCTTAGATTATGCTCGAAGATGCAAGGCTTGCCAGTTTCATGCAAATTTTATACACCAACCACCTGAAATGTTACACCCTACTGTTGCATCTTGGCCATTTGACGCTTGGGGATTAGATATTGTTGGACCACTTCCAAAATCTTCTGGAGGACATCTATACATCTTGGCCGCAACTGATTATTTCTCAAAATGGGCCGAGGTCGTCGCTCTCAAGGAAGTGAAGAAAGAGAATGTTGCAAACTTCATTCGAGTGAACATCATATATTGTTTCGGCATTCCTAGTTATATAATAACAGATAATGGCAAACCGTTTGATAACAAATTGATGACCAAGATCTATGAACTTTTTGGCTTCAAGCAACGTAATTCGTCAATGTATTATGCTGCTGCAAATGGACTAGCTGAAGCATTTAACAAGACACTTTGCAACTTGTTAAAGAAGGTCGTCTCCAAGTCTAAAAGAGATTGGCATGACAGAATGGAAGAAGCTTTGTGGGCCAATCGGACGACTCATCGCACGCCGACTCAAGCAACTCCTTATTATCTTGTTTATGGAGTCGAAGCAGTTCTTCCTCATGAGCGTCAAATACCATCCTTGCGACTCGCTGTCTAAGAAGGTCTTACTGAAGAAGAAAACGCTCGTCTGCGCCTTGAAGAACTTGAGTTCCTTGATGAAAAAAGGCTAGAAGCTCAACAAAGTCTTGAATGTTATCAAGCTCGTCTTTCTCGTGCTTTCAACAAAAAGGTTCGCTTGAGGTTCTTCCAAGTTGGCGATCAAGTTCTTGCAGTAAGAAGACCTATTATCACCTCTCGCAAATCTGGGGCAAATTCACTTCAATGTGGGATGGTCCATATGTTGTGCAAGAAGCCTATTCAAGTGGAGCTTACAAGTTAGTTGATGCAGATGGCATGAGAATTGGCCCTATCAACGGGAAATTTTTGAAGAGGTACTATCCTTGAAGAATAAACGTTCCTCGACGTACGAGCCTAAACTGCAAGTCATGACGCTCCTTGATGCATGAGCTTAAACTGCATGCTGCAATGCTCCTGGCCCGCACGAGCCTAAACTGCGAACGACACCCCCCCAAAAAAAAGAGGGAGTCCGCTAGGTTGAAAGCCTCGAAAGAGGCGGCCTAGGCAAAAGTTAGGACATAAAAGAAAACTCACCTATTTTGAACTACGTTATGACTTGATCCTCTTCACCGAGGTACGTAGGCAGAAGAGTTTCATTCTAAGTTCAGTCGCATAAGCTTAAATAAAATGTGGAATACATGATCTGGAACTTTGACTAATCCAGAAGGTCTTATGCCGCAGAGGCTTCTATATGCATGCGAATCTGGAAGCTCACTGCAGTCGCGTCAACTTCGCGAATTTTCTGTTGGTAGACCGAAAAAAGTTCTGCCATGAAATTCGTAGATACTTCAGGTCTCTGAGTTTACTTTCTAACAGCACGGACGGATTGCAATTCCGACACTCCAAGCTCAAGATACAATTATTTTCGCCGAAGGTACGCAAATCCGAAAATTCACTGCAGTTGAGTCGACTTCGTGAATTTTCTGTTCACGGTCCGAAAAGAGTTCTGTTATGAAATTTATATGAGTTTTAGATCTCCGAGCCTACTTTCTAACGGCATGGACGGATTGCAATTCCGACACTCCTAGATCAAGATACAATTATTTTCGCCGAAGCTACGCAAATCTGAAAATTCACTGCAGTTGAGTCGACTTCAAGAATTTTCTGTTGACAGTCCTAAAGGAGTTTTGCTATGAAATCTATACGAGTTTTAGATCTCTGAGTCTACTTTCTGACACCGCAAACGTCTTGTGATTTGGACGCTCCTATCTCGAGATACAATTTTCTTTTGCGCAGAGTGCGCAAAGCTGTGAGCTCAACACGAGCTAGACGTGTAGATCGACTTTGAAAATTAATTCCAGCTGATACAAAAGGAGATTCGTGCTAATTTTTTTGATATGTTTCAGTCCTATGAGTCTAGTTTCGGTAGAAGCAAGCGGCTTATGATTTGAAGTCTCCTACAGCAAAATATGAATTCTTTTTCGCGAAGCAACAAAGCCAACATACAAGACATATACTGAAATTTATGAAAGAAATAATTGGGAGTAACATAGCGAATCCAGGTCTCAAAGAGAGATATCACATATTAAAAATAAAGATACTTTTATTGCTCCAAGACATAAGTACTCCATTACATGATATTAGTTATAAAAAAAATCGCAAGTCGAGAATCCTAAGCAAAAAAAAAAAAGAGAGAGAGAGAGAGAGAGAGAGAGAGAGAGAGAAAAGAATAATTCTCCTAGTTTAGTACAAATAAACCTTTTTCTAAAAAAGAAAGAATATATATATATATATATATATATANATTGGCTTCAATGGTATAAATCTCCCCTTCGGTAACGTCAACGTTCTCTTGAATTTTAGCCAACTTTACCTGTTGTTTGTCCAAGAGCGCGACGATTTTCTTCTTTCTGGAGGCCAAGGAAGATAGCTGTTGTTCAACACTCGCAAGACTGGCTTGAAGTTTCTCTACAGACTCGCTCACTTTTTCATATTCCTGTTTGGCATCATCGAGGCGTCGTCGTGCATCAGAAAGTGACTCTTGGTGAAATTCTTTAGTCATCTTGGACGATCTTAGAGCATCGTAATCTGCGTACGTCTTGAAGAAAGCCTCGACAAGAGCCTCTAAAGTAGAAGTATCAATAATATTTTCTTTCTTAATTTCCTCAAGACTCAAAGCAATACTTTCCTCCAACTTTTTGAAGCTATCCAGAGAATCAAGAGAGAACTCTTCGATCCATTCACACAAGGTATGCCACATCGTGTTAACAAAAGAAAGTTTAATACGGGAAATAGTCTCTTGTGGTTTGAAGTTTGGAGCATTAAGATGCAACGGCCATGGAGTAGGCTCGAAGGCTTTTAGATGTTTTACTTGACTTGTGGCAACCTCAATCTTACTCGTCATGGCTGGCACAACATCTTCTGGAAGAACGAGGTGCAACTCTTTGGGTAGACTCAAATCCGTCGATGGAGCATTGTCTGCAGCATGATGTTCAACACCATCAAATGAAGTGTGAGGACTTTTTGCGGCCACACCGAGGGAATTTGGGCTTGTAACACAGTCTTCCACCATGTCGTCACCAAGTACATCATCATACAACTCATCGACGCCCAACTGCAAAAAAAAAGAAAAAAAAAGAATAGTGTTAAAAAAAAAGGGAGTCAATTTGAAGGAAATAATATTTACTCATTTCTCCAGTTCAGACAACGGCATCGTTGAGCTAGGGTCACCCTCTACGAAAAATCCAGTATCGATACTAAGAGCATCCAAGTCAGCAAACTCACTATGGCTCGTGTCCTTAGCCTTCTTCTTTGAACGATTCCAATGTATGACGTGACTAACATCACTATCGTTCGAACTGGAAGTTGCACTAAGATTCAAAATCTCATTGGGCAAAGCAGAAGCTTGAGTCCTTTCCTCGTTTGTTGGCACGACGTTGGTTGTCTTCGCAAAATTTTTGTTTGGTGAAGTAGGAGGTGCTTTCCTTTTGCAAGGATTGTTCGTCACCTCTACAGTGGCAGTAGTAGTCTTGGAAGTCAACAAAACATGTTTAGCTCCTTTGTCCACATGGGCATCCCCGCCCGTTGAAGGGGTTGACTTGGATAAGACCTTGGTGCTTGGCGAAGGATCTTTTGATCTTAACTTGGACTTGGAAGACCCTTCGTGAGTGTTCTTTTGACGTTGATCATCTTTGGAGGATAAAGGAATATCATCTTTCCTTGGAACTTTCAAAATGATATGAGTACTTTGTCGGGAAGAGTGCACTCGACAAGCTGACCACCAATCTACATACTCACGAGTCATTAAAGGTCCCTCTTCTGATGGACGCGTAGAGACCTCCTTCAGACCATGATAAATACTTGCAAGGACGGGAACCGCCAAGGAAAACTTCTCTCCATGAGTCATCAGACTCGCGATTTTGAAGACACTAGCACGAATGTAGTCGATCTTCTTGTTGGGGAACACAATTGCAAAGCCGACATGCAAGGAAAGCCGCCAAATAAGTCTCAGCTCTAAGTGACTCCTCCACGCCAAGCTCAATAAAGGGGGCATTCTCCTCATCGGTTCATGATAGGAAGCTCGCGTCAATATTCCCAGAAGGATTATGATTCAACTTTGGCCTTGTAGTCCGATTCCTTGATGATTTTTGCGGAGGCTTGGCATACCTACTCGGGCCTCAAAACCAAAACTCCACCCAATCATGAATGGAGACCTCGTGGACATCATCCTTTATGAGTTTGTAGAATGCCGAGAACAGGTGCAGACAACTTCTTAGGAGGAAAGGTTTTCCTTGATCGTCTTCTTGTGTCAACTCCTTAGCCGAGGGGATAACTTCGTCGTAGAAAGACCCGTGCACCAGAAGGCCTCCGATTGCTCGCAAATCCCACAAATAGATGGAGAGTTCACCAATAGAGGTATAAATTGTGTTGGTAGATGGACGCCAAAGCTCACAAAAGCACGGAGGACATTCTCGTTGTAGTCATATGTGAA